ATTTATAGGACGTAATGTCCGTTGGGAAAATTTGGGGTCCGAATAGTAGACATTGACGTCATTAAGTAGAAAATCGTCCGTTTGACGTAAAAAAGATATGATAGGACCAAAATATTTTTGGGTTTTCCCTTAGGATATCAGAAAGGTGTTGGAGATATTCGTGATACTCTGATCTTATTAATTTTTTGATTTCCCTTCAAAAAGTCTTGAACCTTTGGCTTAAAGATTCAGACTATAGTGCGGCGACCACTCGGTCAAGCGTGTAGGTCTAAATAATTCAGATGCGCGTAATTTCGCTCCGATCATCAAGCGAAAGCAAGCAGAAAGCAACCTCATTCCCAAGGCCTTTTCACAGGGAAAAGGTAATACGAACGAGGTTGAGCGGAAAGACGTAAGAAAAAAAAAAAAAGAAAGAAAATGATAATAATTAATACCTATCTAAAGGTGCAATGTTCTTTGCAAACGATTTGGCCTATCTGCTATTGAGTCTGTAAAAAAAGGATAGCAAAAAACGTGGAAATTGGAAATGGAAAATCTGACAACCTTAAGTCAATTCATAACACGAATAACGTCTGTACCTCTTTGCCAAAAACGTGATTACTATTTATAGGACGTAATGTCCGTTGGGAAAATTTGGGGTCCGAATAGTAGACATTGACGTCATTAAGTAGAAAATCGTCCGTTTGACGTAAAAAAGAAATTGAAGTATTCCGGTGAAAATTCAGAGGTCAAGCCGCAAAATTTAAGTCTATACTTATAACACTTATGATGCATCTACCCTTCCCAAAAACGTGATTTTTGTATACGATCATGTGCATGGTCGAGCGCCGGTGAAAATGGTGGACAGAGAAGAACGTTGAACTTCGCGTTGTATTTTCTTTTTTTTTTTTACATTGTCGTTGACTCACAGGAGACTCTTGATATACTAGGTCTTTTAGATAGGTCCGTGGTGACAAATTTCTTGCATTCTGCTTTGTCTTTTTTTTTTTTCTACAGGTTAGGAATTCGTGACCATTTTTTGTAGGCTGAAATTCCAGCCTGCTTCTTTCATCAATTTTTACACGCAAGTTCAAGTGTCGGCATTATATTTCATTTCATTAGAGGCTTATGCTGACGAGCAGGAGTTTCTAATCTAGGTCATAGGCTTCTGCTGAAGGGTAGAGAATTATTTTGTTTCCGAAAGGACTAGAAGGTATACATTTCATCTCCTGTAAACCCCTGGATCTCCCTTCGACCTTGTACACAAGAAGAGCGATTCGAAGTTTTCCTTTAGAACTGCGTAAAAAATTCGTGCGTGAAACAGGATCATGATCTACCCTTTCGCTACGTACCCTCTTGGAAACATGATCTTGGTTACTGAGACAATGGTAAAGTCAGAGAGAGCGACATTGCTGGTAATTTTAATTTATGTTTGGGTATTAGTGAGGTTCGATCAGTTGCAAGTTCAAGAACGTGCTTGGAAAAATGCCAAGTGGTTCCATCGGCATTGCGACCGTCGGTGAGGTATCTTGAAATAATAAGGTAGGTGCGGTAACAGAGAAAGAATTCTGGGTCCCGCAGCATTAGTAATCTCCTTTCGGCAGAGAATCATGCCGTATCTTGAGAAAAAATTTCACTGAAACAGTTGAAGACTTTCCCGAGCGAAGAGCAAACTCTTTGTAATATCTGCAAGAACAGACATGTTTTGCTCAAAAACGTTTTCATTACGTTTGTATTTCAATATGTTCTCATTAGCTGAACTTACCTTGGAAGACGGCCATATAAATATGCAAAAAGAACACTATTTTAAATAGAAAAAAATCCCAACTGGCTCTTAACTTTTTACTGAAAATATTACCAGTTTAAGTTACCCCACCAACTTATCTATTGTTCCCGGCGTCTTTCTTCAATTTTTATTGATAAACATCGACGACAATAATGTTTCATTTAGAAGTACCCGGCTTTAGATATCTCGAAGTTTCTTCCTTTAAAAACAATTTGCCTGCATCCCGAAATATTTTTCAAATTCTTGGCGAGTTGTTGCCAATCCTAGTAAAAGGTTATCGATCTGTGTTATTTAATGATTTATAAAAGCATGAAATTGTCAAGATAACAAAGAAAAAAACGTTTATTAACAATTGCGATCTCTAAGCGAATCGCTTCAAGTGCTTTTAAATTTCAATTTGCTTCTGCTTTTCAAGTTTATTAGATTTTGTGATTTACTTAAAAAAATACCCGCATTATTGACACATGAATAAATTGTTTTTTAATTTTATGCCAAGAAGGTTAGGTGGCTGTTTATAATAGATTCACCTACGTCACCTTCTTGTTTTTGATATATATGCTAGTTTACATTCGTTCATTAGTATTGTACATCTTTTGGTGTACATGTTGAAAGTAATCCGCTGCAGCTGGAGAAACAACTTGCTTTAAATAAGGTAATCAAGATATTTTTTGGATAGTTAATGATTAGCAAATGTATTTCCTTTCTAGTTACGTCCTCTCGTTGAAGTTTTAGGAAGTAATAGGGGAAGTATATCTAACTAATGGCGATTAAATGTGGAATAGTTACGGTGACTTGTATGTCCAGAGCACGCTAAAAGTCCTAAAAAAGCTTGTAAAAACATTTTCACTGTTTGCCTCCATTATTAGCCTATATTGCCAAGGAGTAGGAGGCAAAGGGGCAAAAGAAACGACGATAGACAATTCATCAGTCTCAAGTCGAGAAATTATCGTCTTCTCCCAAGTATAACATTGTTATGAGTTTTCAAGGAATGTAGTCCAATTTTAAGAGACTATCGGCAGTTCTTCCAATTTTCATCCAACCCCGAGACTGGATTAAAAGCTATCCCGAATAACTTCAAAAGCCATCGAAAACTTTTACCACACAAGTTTGTGCGATGCCATTGCAAGATACATAACACGACAACAGAGCTGCGAACAATCAGTAAATGTTTTTTTCCAGAAAGCAAGGAAAATAAGAAGGGGCGTAGGGACATTTGGGCAGTTGCAGTACTGATTGCAGTAACGTTATTGGAAAACTTTTTTTCTTTCGATGATTTTGATCTCGAACTGCGGTGTTCTTCGGAGGAAAGTTTTAAAGGAAACTGAAAAACAACCATCGCATTAAAAAACCATGAGTTGGCGTTGTCTTGCCGTGAGTTTTTTTTTTTTCTTGCCGTGACACTGTTATGGGCCACCGCACCATAGATACCCTCTTGAAACACAAATTCGTGCGACTAGTGGTTGAAGTAATATGGTATGCTTATTTAACTCCTGAAGCTCAGAATCCTTAGGAAATTCATGAAAAGACAAATTCGAATGTATGAAATTATTATAGCAGTCAAAAACGCAGCAACAGTGGAGCATTCTTCACGCTTCGCAGTTATTTAAATTTCTTATTACCGCAAATGTTGTTCACCCAAGTCGAACCATCTGACCAATGTATGACGTTGAGCTAAAAGGGTCAGTTTCCTGTGACCATGTTACTCTAACAATTGCGCTAATGGATCGATTCGGTGCAAAAAATATCTCGTGAGAGGCCGGAAAGGGTTGCATGGTCAATTAGCGCTGAGCATTCACTGAATGGGTCAGCGAGACTCACGTGTTTTGGCGCTAAAATGAGTCCTTCTTTAAGTGATTCCTTAACAATAAAAGTTATCATAGATTTCTGATGAAACTTCAAACAGCGTCTTTGCATGTCAAGGATATGAAGATAAATATGTACTCCGGTGCGCCACTGATAAATCAGCTTTAGATTCTGTCAATTCCAACCCTAGAAAACAATTTCTAAAGAAAAGAAGGCGTCCTCGTCCACCAAACTTACCAGTCACTTGCGTTTCAGAAAGAATTAAGTAATTTTGATTAGCTCCTGATAGCCTTTTCGCTCCAAAATAGACGTATTTTCATTGTCAGCTGTGGACTTTACGGAGGCTTTTCGGCCCTTCTGCTTTAGTTTTATCAAATTGCCCTGGTTTGCTTTGCATGAAGCAACTAGGAGTAGTGGCGCTACTCTCCCCCCCCCTCACTGGCATTCAATTTTCTGTAGTCCCCACCCTCATCTTACGAAGACTGTCCCCCCCTTTTCCCCACCCCTCCAAAAAAACTTGACTCCCCATAAAATTCTCCCCCCTCCACACCCCCGCCCGGCAATATAGATTGACTAGTCGTTAATTTTTTTCCCCATGAGGAGAGGCGCGTATAATTTTTCCTTGCCTCGTGTAACGCGCCTTTTTATTATCACCTTGATTAAAAAAGGTTGAATTTTTTTTTTAACAATGTTAGATCTCGTAAGCTTTCGGTTCGACCTTGTTGAGGTGAGTCGTTGCTGTACTTTGCGACGGCGATTAGCAGTGAAAATTATGACGCAGTTTATTGAACTTCAGCATGCCAGCAAAATAAAGTTTCACAGGGTGTACAGTGTAGCCTATGAAACTACACATCGTTGCACTTATAAAAAAAATATAAAAACCTATTTGCTAGCATGGAATATTATTTAAGATACAACTGATACTAATATACAAATGAATAAAGGCTGACATCAACAAAGTTGAAATGATAAATTGGCCACCGTAACGATTACAAAAGCTGACGTTTCGAGCGTTAGCCCTTCGTCGGAGCGAATATTATTATTATTATTATTATCATCTTCATCATCTTAAATACCGGAGTAAAATATTTCACGTTTGATTTTAAGCAGTAAATTCTATTTATTACTTCACACAGCCCCAAATGGCCCCGTCATTCTCCGGAGAGAGGTTGGTCGTGCTAACCGAGAACATTGCAGTCAGGATCTCACCCATTATTCGTTCCTTCCAACGTGAGGACCAATCGAAATGCCAAAAAATTTTCAAGGACGGATATCAAGAGTTTATCAAAAATTTAACCATCGTATACCTTTTGCTGCTGGTAAGGTATATTGCAATAGCTGCTGTGTTTGCAATACTTGCAGCAGGGATTTGGTCGGCGTGGATCTTTGCTGTGTTTGTGGTGATGGCATTCATGGTTTTGGCATTCATCTGCATTTATCTACAGTTGTCGGGCTGGCTGTATAGTAATCATACGCTGAAATCAGGTGACTTAAAGGACATTGAAGAAACCTACATGTCGAATAAAAACTCGCGCATGTGGGTGGCAGAGTTGAACGGAAGTGTTGTTGGCATGGTGGGCCTCCTTCACAATGAAAACTTCGAACAAGGTGTTTATGAACTCAAGCGCATGTATATTGTGCCTAATTGTAGAGGAATGGGAATCGCTAAACACTTGATCAACGAATTAATCTCACATGCTAAGACAACTAGATTAAAATTGATTATGGTAAAAACGACATCCACACTGATGCCAGCGATTCAACTGTACACGAAAAATGGTTTCACATTTTCCAGTGATGATTTAAATGGAAAATCAACCGACGTGCCTGCCATTAACAAACGGAATTTACCAAAAGACGTACATCTTAAGCTAGACATTTCCTCGTTAGCTGCACCTTAAAATATTCTCGGAAGTATTAATGACTTTGCACCTTTCCAATTAAGGTTAGCACTTGAAAATTTTATTCGTAAGCCACGAGGCAGAGCGCTGCGAGCCGGGTTGTTCAAAACACGATTAACCTCACCTGGGGATAGCGCAAGTTTTTATTTCGCTTTGCTTTGCAAAGGGATTTTTCTTATGCAATATTTTGCAGGTAGTATGGAGGCATATTGAGATAAACCCAAAGTGAACCTTAGCTGTTATAAACGCTCTTATACACGAGAAATTAAGGCCAAGATTAATTTTTAATCCTAGGTCAACGTTAGCCTCCTTTCGAAAAACTCTGCCCAGTTTCGTAACTGTTAGGGTAGAAAGTGTAGGTTTCATGAGCCTAAATTTAGCTGGATCCCTCAGAACAAGGAGCTTTTCAATCACGAATTTTAAAATAATCAAAATTGAAGAAAATACACGAAAGCTTGTTGCACAGGATATAGAAAATCTCTTTAGCTTTTGAATTTCAAATTACAATTCTTCTCTCCCTCTCTTAGCAAAAAATTGCCAACGATGATAAATAGATTGCGATTCGTGCAATATCGGTTTTCGTGTCCAATTTATAACGCAGAGTTTTCCCGTCAGGTAATCAATTCTCCCTTGAAATCAATAGACTGCACTATTAGTTTAAAAGCGTAAAGATCAACGCAGAATTTTGAAAGAACACGAGAAAGGATTATAAATCAAGCCTTCAAGAAAACCAATCACACTACTGAAAATAAATTCGATAACAACTACAATATACCGTCGAAATAAGCGCCATGGAAGGGTGATTTAATCAATAGCCGGTAAAACCATAGAAAGTGTGGTCGATTCCTTTATCAAACCTATGCCCTGGCACTTGTAGGGTCTGCTAGTTGTGGTACTTTAAAACACTCTCCAATGAAATTCCTAGAACAGGACTACAACAACTGAGAGCTTTAGTCTGTAATGTATCGATCAATTCGAAGCTTCAACATCCCCCCCCCGGCAGCCCGCGAGGTATTTGAGCTTTTGAAGATTGTATCGTTGAAATTCGCCTCCACTCCCCCCCTCCCCAACCATCAAATGTATAAATGCCTCAACCACATTTCGGTATCAATATCAAAATTTAATTACAAGAAAGCTACGATGAACAATCGGGGAGTGGTCCTCAGTCGAGGTGCCTGGTAACTAACGGTACGTAAATGAAGTGTGACGTCAATGCAAGGGGTCTATAGTCAATTGTTTGTGAAAGGCAAAGCTAGCGACCGTGACTTTCTAACAGACCTTTTCTGCCGAGTCATCTGTTCGTGTTCATTACCTTTAAACATTTCCATATTTAAAGATAATACACACGTGTCCCATTGGAAAGACTTGACAGTTCGGGTTCAAATGCTCCACTCCAGGCACCCAGGCAAGGATCAAAGGTTCCAATCCCCCGGGACGGACGACAGTCAAATGCCTGTGGGTTGCCGGAGGATGGCGGGAGTTGAAGCTTTTTAATTGAATTTATCGACGCTTGAGACTCTCTGTCTGATATAGATGGTTCTTAGTGAATTCTCTTTTTGACCTGTGAGAAAGAATTAAACACAACTCCTTCGACATCGGTTATAAGATCGGCTGGATTATATTAAAATCTCAATTTCATATCATGGCCTTAATGTCCTTTATTTCCAACAAATATCTTTTTCAGTTTGTCAAACGTCAATAAAGCATGGGAAATATTCCACCTTTGATACTGAGGCACTAATTATCTATTTGTGGAAAATTTGAATATTAGTTCCATATCCAATCCTTCTCTACAAAGAAATTCGACTTAAAGTGAGAGTCTGAAAGGCTTCTAATGTATTTACTAACATATTATGCTTGTTGTGGATACCACAGAACAAGTTGAATCACGTCATTTGACAAAAAAGAAAAAAAAAATCTGTTTCCGACGATTAAAACAACACCTGAATGGTCTAGTACTCAATTGTAAAAATGCTGATGCACTTCTAATCACGTACTTTATTTTATTATTAATGTATAAACACGTTGCTTTACGGTGTTTCGCAGTACCAACTTAACCGTTTACAGCGTGTTCTCGACGCCACAGTGCGTCACCTGCCTTCTCCCACGGTACTCCCACATCACCCCAACGCTGTTCCATCTTCACTGGCTTCCGGTTGTCTCTAGCATCAGATTCAAGATCGCGTTGATGGTTTTCAAAGCCCTCCATGGTTGTGCTCTGTCTCACTAATCTGGATTATTGCCCATAAGGCCCCTGAGTCGCTGTGAATTGCGCAGAGACGTTCAACATCTTCTCTTGGTACCTCGAACTAAATGTAAAACATTTGGTGACCGACCATTCGCTGTCGCTGGACCAAGGGTCTGGAACAGTCTTCCACACAGCATTCGTAATTCTGTAGATGTAAACACTTTCAAGGCGAACCTCAAAACATTCCTATTCCGACAATCATATTAATATTTCAGTTTCAACTTTCTTTCTTACATACCTTGTAAATGAGATTTCATTTATTTCATTTTTATTGATGTATTATATATGTAAAGCGCATTGGAATATTTTTATAACTTATGCGCTATATAAGCTCTTTTTTAAAATTAGAATTAAATTAAATTAAATCAAATCGAAATAACTTGCTTCGGGTGAGCAAAATCTTATCTGATTTGATTGACGTTTAAATAGCTAGTGTTTTCTATGTTGCGTTTTCCTTTTTTTCACCATTCATGGGTGTAGGAGGCCAAATACACCTCTTTTACATTTCACTTAGGTTAGGTATACCCAACTTAGGTTGGGGGTCTCTAAGGGTTTAACCATTAGCCGTAAAACGGCGAAAAAAATTAGCCGTTGGGCGTAATAAAAAGAAAAACGGTAGTTTTGAAGAATTAATCATTAGTTATTACACGACTCGGGCAGTCAGAGGGCCAATAACTAAAATCAACCAATCAAAATGCTCTATTGCCGGTCCAATATTCTCTCAGTATTGGACCGGGCATCGTCCCGAATGGTCCCGAATGATACCGCACTTGTGTCCCTTTGAACTTCAGTCGTATAATAAATCTCTTATTAACCAAGCTTGCTCGGGACCGTGGTGGAAGAATATCGGCCCTCGGTCTTTTCTGTACGGACCTCGCTGCGCTCGGTCCGTACTGTCAAGACCTCGGGCCGATATTCTCCCAGTACGGCCCTCGCGCTTGGTTAATAAGATATATATACTTTCCTACTGATACAACGCGTCATTTTGAAAGGTCAAAATCTGCGCATGTTCTATGTCTTGTCCTGTGGCCAACAGAAAATTGCTCCAGGTTACTTGACTTGTGTGATAAAAAGTGAGCGAGTAAGTGTAATCAAAATCAACGAAAAATGTTCATTAACTTTTCAACTGTGACAGAATGAAGTCAACCAATAGACGTAAAATGGCCAAAATTTTGACCGTTAGCCGTGACGCCATCATCCCATTGATCTTACCGTAATAATTTAGTATTAATGAGTAAAAAAGCACGTATAGTGTAACAGAGTTTTGTATAGTCCTAGGCAAAGAGTAAAAGCATATATTGTAGATATATATTCAAGAAGGACATTATGTAGAAATTGGCATTCACAATTCTACAATTGTCCAGTCGTGTCAAATAAAATTCACCAATGGAGCATCATAGCGAGGTCCACACCTATAACTTTTGTGTTAAGTACGTAATCATCTCACCCAAGGTCAAAGTTAGTAACACCAAACTGCTTTTCAAAACAGGTACCAGGGAGATCCTTTGTCACCTCAGTCACCCCCTTGCTACAATTTTCTTTCTCTTCCCAGCTTTCAGCTGCCATTAAAATCAAAGATAGCGGCCATTCCTCGCTGAGAAAATACTGCTCACTCACTCGCCCAATTAAGTCCGTTTAATGTGGACAAACGTAGCTTTGATTCGCGAATGAAGAAACATCGATCCGCTCAGTCGCCCACGTCTCGGAAATCGCGCGTGGCTCTCTTGCGGCTACTGTCAAGACAAACCTAAGCAAAACGAGAATGTAACCTCCTAAGAATGAAATGTACTAGGACACCGACTCAGTTTGAAAGGCAAAGGGTTTTTTCTCAAACAAATCCAAGCTGTGGAGTGATAGTTATTTTGCCTAAAGAAGAACGCATTGCTCGCCACAGATTCATTTCACATTGCTACCTCGGAATGAGACGAACTATTTTTGCAGTTACAAGAACCCAGCCTCGGTGTATGACTCAACACGAGCCATTTGGAACTAAGAACAGCCCCAGTTGGCAAGCAACAAGGTAGAAATGATAGACTTGAAGATCATTCTTCGTATGCGTAAACACTGAGAAAATTGATTAGAAGCACTTAATTGCCATATTAACGCAGACAAAAGGCAGAACTTAATTGTTACGAACTAAATTATCAGATACAAAGAAATATATGAAGTTCATACATTTTTGAACTGCGGTATTAGATACATATGATGCATGATCCTCACAGTATATAGCGCTATTTAAGCAATAGCGAAAATCAGACCTGAAAAAAATCAGGCCTGTACGGG